CAAAAACCAAATAATTGCACTTCATCCCCTTTCATTTTGTTTCATCCTGTGAAAATGCAGGGAACAGGGAGGGGCAAAGATGATAATCAAACAGTACATGTTAAAAGCTGGTAAACCAGTCCTTTCAAAGACATTAAAACCACAGTGTTATTCAAATGAGTCCATCAGACCAAAGCAAACACCCAGCCATCTATAGTTTCATTTCACAAGTTTGGTGGCTATATAAATCATTTAAATACATATATTAATAATGATAAATTCCGAATTAGATACAAAAGAGATCAAGCCAGCCAGAAGTTGGTGGTGGTCTAAATGAAGATCAATATATCTAGAAAACTTTTCACAGACACAGGTTAGGAATATAGGTAACCAAAGCAGGGTTAAAAAGAATGTTGTGTATCTCAGCTTTTAATCCTATTTTCCATATTTCTTTGCAGCTGGACTCTAGTGTGGTGACTCTGACTTCTGCAGAGGAGTTTCTCCAGAGTCTGCAAATATGAAAATGATCCCTTGGATGAGGCCTGAAGCATAGATCTATAAAGAAATTCACTGGAGCCTTCAGACTTCAAATGGAAGATTATTTTTTTTAAGTAGTACAGTATCATTATTTTAAAGCTCTTTGCAAATGAAAAAAATCCCAATAGAAGAAGGCATTGTTTTATTGATCTGCTAATGTAATTGTTGTCATTTATTTTAAAAATTTAAATAATTTATGCAGTACATAAATAAATGATGTAATACATAATACATAAATCTGAAGATTTTCTCAGATTATTTATTGTATCCACCATTCAGCATTTCATACAACTCAGGCCCAAAGATTTATGGTCTGATCTGCATATTATAGTAAGCCATGAGTTGCTTAACAATTGTTTGTAACAACTAAACAAACCAGAATTGATTGTGCAAATATTTTTTAAAAAATGACTTTCCATATTTTACAAACACAATATAGTCTTAAAATGTACATTTGCCAGGAGACTCACTAAATTAAGTTTAAATCTTCATTTAATTATCTGGTCTGAGAATTCATTTCAAAATACTGTTTCTGACATTTTTAATATGGGTTAAGAGGAATGCTTCAGAACTTTCTTCCCATCTGTGAGATCAATTCAGAATTTGAATCAGGTTTGACTAGTCAAATGTTGATTTGCAACTTTTGAACAGTTAGCACCAGGCTTGCAATATTGTTACATAACACTTACTTCTAAATGCTGAAGAGACAATGGAATATTCTTCACACATAGTTTGACCGTCTTTTCTAAGCTTTTGAATAACTTCTCCTCTTTATTAAAAACTTCATCTTTCACCTAAAGCCACAAGAACATTACAGTTAGGATAAGAACATAATTGCTAATAGCAATGTCAAAATGCCTCAGGGTTCCTTCCTAGTGGTCTGCTGAGGCATCTTCATATAACACTAAATAACAGTTTAAAGCAGTGGTTCTCAACCTATGGGTCGCGACCCCATTTGGGGTCGATCGACCATTTCACGGGGGTCGCCAAGCAAGGCTGTCCGCCATTTTTTCCCCTTTTCCGGCGGGTGCCTTACCTCCCTTGAGCTGGGCCAGCTGGTGGTCGGCCTGCTCCATCTCTGCCACTTGCCAGCTACGCCTCGGCCGGCGCAGAGGGCGGAACCACGCATGCGCAGCGCTCCCGGGCAGGGAAAGTCCTCGACTTACGACCGGTTGGGTAGTCCTCGACTTACGACCGGTTTAGTCCTCGACTTACAACCGGTTTAGTCCTCGACTTACGACCGGTTTAGTCCTCGACTTACGATCTGTTGGGGGTCGCGGCATTAAAAAGGTTGAGAACCACTGGTTTAAAGGAATGTCAAAATATCTTCACTACCATTCTGGTTCCATTTCTTTAATTTCAGTCCTGTGGGGTCCTGGTTGCTCTCTGAGCTTGATGGTTTTCTTGCAGATGTTTTATTACCAAACTAGTTAACATCAATGGTGCCCTGAGGATGTTATCTAGTTTGGTAATGAAATGTCTGCAAGAAAAAAACTGAGCTCAGAGACCAACAAGGACCCCACAGTTCAACTCACTGCTACTGGTACAAATATTCTCTTCCATCAATTTCAGGCTTCTTCAACATTATCTGAAAATGAATATTGACATGTTTTATAGGCAGGAATTTTTAAATTCCCCTCATTGTATGGGAGCCTTCATTGTGTTAGCTGCCGAGAGCTATTTAAGTGAGATGGACAATTGTATAAATCTCATAAATAAATGAATACATCTTTTGAATAAATAAAAATATTATCATAAAAAACAAGGGAAGGATTTCTGGGATTGCTTTCATTTCCTTCATGATATCTGCCTGTGGGGTCTTTCTGTAAAATAGTAATTTTGTGCTTTCAGTGAGCAAATATGAAATTGGTACGTGACGTTAGCCTCATGTTCACTGTCTTGGCCAAAATAGATCATACATGCACTCATAACCTTTTGGAATGCTTGCCATTCGTACACTACAAAACACATCTGTTAAAAGTTTTTATGGAAAAAAAATCCTACTAGGATGATAGAATTTACTTTGCTAGACAGAAAAGGATCGGCAATTGATTAAAGAAGTTAGAAGTTGCTGCAAATGTCAGCAATGGAAAATGTGATCTGAAATAATAACTTAGAATAAAGAAAAATGCTGAGATTTCACAAAAACATAACTCCACCCTAAGATGCTTCAATAATATTTGACAAATGTTGATTAAAAAAAAAACTCAGCACAGAGAATATACTCTTTATCGTGGGAATGTTATCAGCCTGCACAGAACTTTTTGGACCATATCATTCTGTGCAGCTGATAAGAACTGGCACGGAATCAAGATCTATGAATTTTTATTGTTAGTTCAGATTTCTGAATTTCATTGCAAACAAGTAGGGCAGGCTGTGTTAGAGAATCAGAATGGCTGCTGCATGTAATAGTGTCAATATCGGTTGAGATGGAGAAGCAATTACGGTAGCTACGCTCAAGGCAGTTTCCTGTATTCTTAAAGCATTGATCCAAATGTGAAATAGTTTTGAAATTAATCGAGCTGCCAACTACAATAACCTCATCTGAAGCCCAATTTTCACTTTTGTACTGTGTGCTAAGACCCCCATCTAGAGCAGAAAATTTCACAGACTAGTTTGTTTAGTACTGGCTTCCTATTAAAAAGATTAGTACTAAGCCACAGAAAAATGCAGTTGCTTTTTTTGCAGTCAGATACGTTCTGAAACTAATTCTCATCAATAAATAGCACATACTTATGAAGTCAATCACAGACTCTAACATAATATATATTTCATGAGTAGTTTACCTTTTACCAATATAGATTATTTATTTATGGCCTAGTAAGCTACTGGTTGGCACCACTTTGTTAATGAGACTGGTTGAGATCACAAAGCAAAGAATTTAGCAAGCATCCTGATCATTGTGCCTATTTTGTGCATAACAACTACAGAATTGTGTCTCTGGCATACAAAAACATTCTCATTAAAGTAAATTATGTACTCCAGATTTCTTAACACCTTGATAAATGCATGGGCAGTTGATAAAACCTGTTTTGGAATGGGCAAATAGTAAGGACATAATAAGAAAAAAAAGGAAGGATACCGCAGGAATGAAAATGCTTAGCCCTCTGATCACTAACCCTCTTAAAATTCCTGTCAAACAATGGCTGGATTCACATGTTGCATTAAACCATAACAAAGTTGACTTAGTTGTTGCTTAAGCATGTTGCATGAAATCAGCCACTGTGGATTTTAAATTATTGATGTGAGTAAATCCAGCAAATGTTTGTTGATTCAAGAAATTATGCCTAAACACACCATAATTTAGCGTGATGTGCAAATACAATGAGTGATTACCTGAGGTTCTCCTCCAGTCAAAATCTTCAGGTGACCAGTCACTCTCTTGGACTTTTTACTAATTGAGTGAATGTTTAACTTTGAAAATTTATCCTTTAAAGATTCGTCTTCATCATTCTTCTTATACTTAAGCACTGTAATCAGACAAATCACATTAATAATAACAATGTGTACTGATAAGGCATCAATGAATTCCTATCTACTTTTTTAATGCTATCACAGATTAGAGGGGGGGAAAAGAAATGGAGGCTACAGCTTGTTATACTTATGGAAAGAAGAGATAATTAAGTCCTTATGGCCACATAAACTTTTAAAAAGTTTAATTTCACTAATTGTTCCTGCCATTTTCAATAGCAGCCTTTGTTCTATTGCAAAATGCATAGAGATGCTTGAATTCTATATCATGTGTTTGCAATCTTTAGTGAATCTATCAGGGAGAAGCTCAAATATAACAAGAAAAAATGCTTAACTTTATGATATGCCTTAAGCAAATGCAAGCATCTAACACTGGAGCTATAGCATTTTTTTTAGTCCTCTCATGCAGTATGATAAATAAGATGGGAAGTAAATGTGCCTTTTGGTTCTGGGATTTAATGATTTTTTTTGCCTATGAATATTGTTCTTTATGAAGAACAATAGCCCAAGGCAATTCCCATATAAAGAGACAGGATACCTATGAACTCTAAATGTAAATGCGGGGAATGTCTATCACTTCAAAGCTAGTAATTGTTGAAAATTGAATTGTGAACCAGATGAATATTACTTTGATCCTACAAAGAACATGCTACAATATTTAAAGGATCCACTCAAATATCATAACCACTGCCTATATTTGGACATCTCAATAAACTATTTTATCATAATATGAACATACTTAGCTTTTTTCAGGGTTATGGGTCCTTACTATCTCTTCCTCAAGCATAGCCAGTGGGAAGAGTTTTTGTTGGACTTCCAGGTCTGAGTTGTGAAATTCCAAACAATGTGTTGCTGGATAGAAATAGGGAGTTATAGATAACCCTAACTATTTGCTGTCATCTAATAATTGTATAGATTTTTGCAGCCCTACTTTGTGATCAGATAAGATTCTACATAAGGCATCCAAATACACGACATACATATCCAAAACAAGCTAAATGCAAAGCATAGATTATTGTCATATAAAGTGACTGGATAAGACAATGCTGGATTTACAAATCATATTAATACAAACTGGTATTTAAGTTTGATTTCTCATACTATATGAACCCAACTATATGATATATGACTGGACACCATGTATGAAACCAGCCAATTTTAATTTGTTCAATAGTTAAGCAGCTTAGGACTTTTGTATAACATTTAAAAAGGCCTCTGAATCTTGGTCTTATGTCTCACTACACATTTTGGGCCTAATAAGCTAATGTTGATGCATTCACATTTCTTTCAGGAATGCTTTGTACAAGCCAAATGAATTAT